CCGGCGTGCTCCGTCCCGGCTTTGTAGGGATGCGAGGTCAATGGTCTAACGACTACGGCATGCACGACTATGAGTACCCCCCCCCCCCGCCGCCGTAGATCAACGTCCTTTGCTCGAGTACATGTATACCCCCGAACGATCGCCTCCACCCAACCACTGTCTCTTTTGCCTTGCCGTTCCTCCTGTTGACATAGCTGCGTTGCCCTGGTGGCAATGATCTGCGGCAGCGTCGTTGCAGCAAACTCGTCCATCTTGCTCAGATCCGGTGCTGCCCTCGTCGGCGCGGTCCTGACTCTACACGCGGGCGGGTAAGCGGTCCCAAATTGAGTCGAGCGGGGCTGGGGTACTCATATTTTGCATGCCTTGGGATTGGGCGGGGGTACTCTTGTATTTTTTTCGTTGCCTCAGCGGTTACAGCATTGACCACGCGTCCTCGAGAGGACGGAGCATTGGGCCGATCGTCGATGGCCAATCGTTCCTTCCTACGCGAAGGGGCATAATTGCACGTGGCGTCTTCGAGAGGGGACAGCGGCAGCACCTCCCTTTTGCATGACACAGCGCGGTCGGCCCATACCATTGTAGCTCATCCAGCGTCACACGGGTCGGAAAGTGTCGAAACGGGGGGGCGTGATGTCACGGCCGTTGTTCGAGTCCAAAATACCCCAAAGCAGTGCGGCCCCTCTCGAAACTCTCAACTCTATCAGCTGTCTCTGTGTTCTTTATTCACGCGGGACTGTGCTGATTATTTCTTCCAATCACGCCGCTTCATTTTTTCGTTGTGTTCTACTTCAAAGAGGGAGGTTCCTCGTCAACCCCAATCGGTTATCCTGACCACCTATATTCCCGTCCCTGTGTGCTAGCCATCCTCCCCCAACCACCGTTCGTAATGACAGTCTCTTCAACACTCTCTCCTCCGGGGCTGAAATTTTGGTCGGCCTACGTAGGCTCGACCAGCGCCATCGTGACTTTGAAGCGTGCGCGGGTCTATGAACGGTCTGTGACAATTTGCCCCCCCCCGACCCCCCCGACCCCCCCCCCGGTATTTACCATCGGGGTTGGGTTTTCGTCGCTTGGCAACGACATTGTAAAACAAGCCGCCCCTCCCGGTGTTTGCCATCGGGGTTGGGTTTTCGTCGCTTGGCAACGACATTGTAAAACAAGCCGCCGCCCCCCGGTGTTTGCCATCGGGATTGGGTTTTGTCGCTTGGCAACGACGTTGTAAAACAAGCCAATTCACTTTGTGAACTCGGCAACCAGGTTACGTTTTTTTTTTTTACCTCCGTTTTTTTTTTTTGCGGTAACCATAGTGGTGGTCGAGTAGATCATGTTGTGCGGGGTGGAGAACCCTCACTCCGCGCAAGGGGGATGATCGCACCACGTTGTGTTGAAATGGTCAAGCACCCTCGAGGCAGTTACACAGTGCTTCCAACTGTCTCTGGAAGTGAAAGCACCAGAAAGTAAATTAATTCATACGCAGCTGTCATCCGTACGCAAGGAAGTAAGCACAAGATGCCGAACACCCTTAGCAGGATGCAGCGCACCCTTCATGCGACTCGCCGAATATCTCACGGCGCTTCGCGCTTGGTGATGTGAGAGCCTGGTCCGGTGAGAACCCGG